CCAAACTATCTAAACTATCTAAACTATCTAAACCGGGAGGGGTTTAGATAGTTTAGATAGTTTGGGTGGCACGGGGGAAGGCCCAAACTATCTAAACTATCTAAACTATCTAAACCGGGAGGGGTTTAGATAGTTTAGATAGTGTGGATAGTTTAGATAGTTTAGATAGTTTGGGGGCTCCCGCTGCTCTGGTCTACACCCCTTCCGGTTTAGATAGTTTAGATAGTTTGGGTGGCACGCGGGAAGGCCCACACTATCTAAACTATCTAAACCACTCTCTCTCCAGACCAACGGGAGACCCCCAAACTATCTAAACTATCTAAACTATCCAAACTATCTAAACTATCTAAACCGGGAGCGGTTTAGATAGTTTAGATAGTTTGGGTGGCACGGGGGAAGGCCCAAACTATCTAAACTATCTAAACTATCCAAACCGGGAGGGGTTTAGATAGTTTAGATAGTTTGGATAGTTTAGATAGTTTAGATAGTTTGGGGGCTCCCGCTGCCCTGGTCTACACCCCTCCCGGTTTAGATAGTTTAGATAGTTTGGGTGGCACGGGGGAAGGCCCAAACTATCTAAACTATCTAAACCCCTCTCTCTCCAGACCAACGGGAGACCCCCAAACTATCTAAACTATCTAAACTATCTAAACTATCCAAACTATCTAAACTATCTAAACCGGGAGGGGTTTAGATAGTTTAGATAGTTTGGGTGGCACGGGGGAAGGCCCAAACTATCTAAACTATCTAAACTATCAAAACCGGGAGGGGTTTAGATAGTTTAGATAGTTTGGATAGTTTAGATAGTTTGTGGGCTCCCGCTGCCCTGGTCTAAACCCCTCCCGGTTTAGATAGTTTAGATAGTTTGGGTGGCACGGGGGAAGGCCCAAACTATCTAAACTATCTAAACTATCTAAACCCCTCTCTCTCCAGACCAACGGGAGACCCCCAAACTATCTAAACTATCCAAACTATCTGAACTATCTAAACCGGGAGGGGTTTAGATAGTTTAGATAGTTTGGGTGGCACGGGGGAAGGCCCAAACTATCTAAACTATCTAAACTAATCGAACCTATCTAAACGGGAGTGGTTTAGATAGTTTAGATAGTTTGGATAGTTTAGATAGGGAGGGGTTTAGATAGTTTGGATAGTTTGGATAGTTTGGATAGTTTAGATAGTTTGGGGGCTCCCGCTGCCCTGGTCTAAACCCCTCCCGGTTTAGATACTTTAGATAGTTTGGGTGGCACGGGGGAAGGCCCAAACTATCTAAACTATCTAAACCCCTCTCTCTCCAGACCAACGGGAGACCCCCAAACTATCTAAACTATCCAAACTATCTAAACTATCTAAACTATCTAAACCGGGAGGGGTTTAGATAGTTTAGATAGTTTGGGTGGCACGGGGGAAGGCCCAAACTATCTAAACGATCTAAACTATCTAAACCGGGAGGGGTTTAGATAGTTTAGATAGATTGGATAGTTTAGATAGTTTGGGGGCTCCCGCTGCCCTGGTCTAAACCCCTCCCGGTTTAGATAGTTTAGATAGTTTGGGTGGCACGGGGGAAGGCCCAAACTATCTAAACTATCTAAACCGGGATGGGTTTAGATAGTTTAGATAGTTCGGATAGTTTAAATAGTTTGGGGGCTCCCGCTGCCCTGGTCTAAACCCCTCCCGGTTTAGATAGTTTAGATAGTTTGGGTGGCACGGGGGAAGGCCCAAACTATCTAAACTTTCTAAACTATCTAAACTATCTAAACCCCTATCTCTCCAGACCAACGGGAGACCCCCAAACTATCCAAACTATCTAAACTATCTAAACCGGGAGGGGTTTAGATAGTTTAGATAGTTTGGGTGGCACGGGGGAAGGCCCAAACTATCTAAACTATCTAAACTATCTAAACCGGGAGGGGTTTAGATAGTTTAGATAGTTTGGATAGTTTAGATAGTTTAGATAGTTTGGGGGCTCCCTCTGCCCTGGTCTAAACCCCTCCCGGTTTAGATAGTTTAGATAGTTTGGGTGGCACGGGGGAAGGCCCAAACTATCTAAACTATCTAAACCCCTCTCTCTCTCCAGACCAACGGGAGACCCCCAAACTGTCTAAACTATCTAAACTATCCAAACTATCTAAACTATCTAAACCGGGAGGGGTTTAGATAGTTTAGATAGTTTGGGTGGCACGGGGGAAGGCACAAACTATCTAAACTATCTAAACTATCTAAACCGGGAGGGGTTTAGATAGTTTAGATAAATACCCCAAACAGGAACGCCACATTATACATAAAGGTTTCTCTTACATAATTAGATACTCGGTTTTAGGATAGTAGTTATGTAGGTTAGGATTTTGGAGAGTATATGATTATTGGGTACTTGGACCCTTGGGGTTCCGGTTTAGGGCTACCCAGAGAGGCCAAAATCCCTTAATTAAGGAATATGGCTTAAACTATATATGGCTTCATATTATGATTTAAAGCTATATTCCTTAATTAAGGGGTATTGGGCTCTCTGGGTCAACCCTAACCCCCCAAAATCCTAAACCCTACACACCCTAAACCGCGATATGGGGGTTTAGGGGTGAAGGTTTCAGGCTTCTAAAGATTCAACTTTTTGGTGCCTGGTCGCCGGAGAAGAGAGGCAGTCAACGGCCACACGCAGGTCGTGCGCCTGCTGCTAGAAGCTCGGCGGAGTGTTTTAGGTTGTTTGCTTCACTCAGTAAATACAAGGGCCCCTTTGAGGGATGAATAAGGGTCTTTGTAAGGGACCTTTAAAGGGTTTAATTGAGGGATCAAAAAGGGTCCCTCTAAGGGAGTTGATGGGGATTGAGGCTTATGCAGGGCTGAGGGTCTCTGGAGTTTTGGGCTTAGGGTTTAGAATTCTGGGTGTAGGATTTTGCCTGGTATACACAAACCCGACACATGCAGGCCCGAAGGGACAAGACGTTTTGTTGAAAGAACCCTTACAGTTACTATGCGGGTACCTGAAAGGAACCCCAAAGCCCCTAAACCTCCTAAACCCTCAATGGTGATGTTGAGCCCGTAAACTCCAAAACCCGGAATTCTAAGCATTGCATAAACCCTCAAACCCCAAAACCTTAAACCTTACATAAACCCTAGAACCCTAGAGCCCTAAACCAAATCCTAAACTTTACATAAACCCCAGAACCCTAGAGCCCTAAACCCTAAACCCTAAGCCCTATATCCAGAGCCGAGGAAGCTGGCGCAGCCAAGGACAAGGCGGACCAAGACACCTGGGTTCGGAGTAGCATACTTGAATACTTTTTTTGGTTTAGGGTTTAAGGGTTTAGGGTACCTGTTCCTAAAGGAACCATTATAAACTAAGAGTCTCTACTTGTTTCCCCCTGGTTACTTCAAAGTCCAGGACAGTAAAACCGCCTTGATCTTGGCAGCGAAACAAGGCCCTGGTTTGGTGTAGGGGTTTAGTTCCCTTTTTAGAAGGAGCCCTTTAGGGTTCCTTTAGGGCTCCTGTAAGGAATCTACAAGGGTACTGTTTAGGGTTTTGGGGGTTTCAGAGTTTGGGGTTTCGGGTTCGTTAGTTATATAAGGGCTCAGGGTTCTATGAGGGTGTCACCCCCCCCAACTACCCTTTATAATCCCTGAAATACCCACTCTTCGACTAAGAACCATAAGGGCTGTATCTTGGGAGTCCCTGGTTCCCAGAAGAGTGTGCAGGGCTTTAGGGTTTGTGGGCTTGGGTTCATTAAAGTAAACCCCATAAAGTTGGAAATCGGATTAAGGCCAATGGTGCTGGGATTCCCTATACATTCTGAAGGATTGAGGCTATTGGATTTCAAACTTTTAGGCTTCTACTGTAGTTCTATAAGGGTTCAAGGGTCCATGAGGGCGTGGGGTCCCAGAGTCCGGGATTCCGGGGTTACTTCGTTCTATAATGCTTTACGGTTTTAGGGCCCTGGTTCCATGAGGGTGTAGGGTTTGAGGGTTTCAGGGTTTGGGATGTTGGTTCTAATTAGTTCTATAAGGCTTTAGGATGTTCCATGAGGGTGAAGGTTAGGGTTGCAGGGTCTCAGGTTCCAGGGTTTTGGGTTTAGGGTCTCAGGTTCCAGGGTATTAGGGTATTAGGGTTTGGGGCTTACGGTGCATACAGGTTCTATCATAAAATTCCCGTGGGGGGGTTCGACAAAGGCTCTACAAGGGCTCTATCAGGTTTCTATGAGTCTACGAGGCTTCTAGCGAGGTTCTGTTCTGCTAAAAAGCTTCGAGAACTCTCCAAGGGTATCAAAACGGGTTCTATAGCTGCCATAGAGCCTCCATCACTTTGTAAGAGTTCTATACTTGGAGAACCAGTATTGTATAGAGTTATAAGTACCGTAACCCCAGTTAGGCTTATGACAACCACAAAGCCCGACGACGGGCATATTGAATTGCACAAGAATGGGTGTGTTTCTAGGATGTTGTGAAGGGGCAAGCTGCAGCACTGCATGTGTCAGATGGACGCGACTTGCATGTGTCGATCGCAGGCATCAGGTGAAGTGAAGTGGGGCCCCTAAACCCCAAAACCCCTAAACCCCTAAGCCCTAAACCCTAAACCCTAAACCCTAAACCCCAAACCCTAAACCCTAAACCCTAAACCCTAAACCCTAAACCCTAAACCCTAAACCCCAAACCCTAAACCCTAAACCCTAAACCCTAAACCCTAAGCCCTAAACCCCAAACCCTAAACCCTAAACCCTAAACCCTAGACCCACCCTAAGCCCAACGAGTTGTGTCCAGCCCAGCCAAGGCTCACTTTTTGGCCTCGATTTCGGCTCTCCATCGTTTAGGGTTTAGGGTTTAGGGTTTTTTCCCTTTGTTTTGGCCATGTTGCCCGGCCCTCCACTTCGGCTCGCCATCTCCGCTAGGATAAGTTGGAGAGCCGAAATGCAGGGCCAAGGAAAAACTTGAGAGCCAAGATGGAACGCCAAAACAGAATGCAGAACAAAAACGGAGAGCCGAAATGGAAGGCCAAAGTGGATACCCTTGCCCGGGTTGCACCCCACCGCATTCCAGCCCGCTCTGCAAAGAAAAACATGTTTCAAAAGACCTTGCATTTTTGCTCATCTGCCCTTCCGGTGTTCACAAAAATGGGGTCTCTTTTATTGAACTGATAACTCTGTAAAATGATTACTTCGTACTCCCCGAAATCCTCCAAGCAAGGGTTCTAGACAGAAAGTAGATCCCCTAATTTGGGGCCCTTGCTCATAGGTACTTTAGAGGAACCCCCCGTTAAGGGATCTACTTTTTGGATCCTCCCGGGGGTTTGAGAAGCACTAAACCCTAAACCCTAAACCCTAAAACCCTAAACCCTAAACCCTGTAATGCCTGGATAGACCCTAAGCCAGGCCGTGTTGAAATTGTCCGCTTGCTCTTGGAAGCTGGAGCAGACAAAGGCCTAAAGGATCGGGAAGACAGGACAGCACCTCGGTGGCAACTCATAGGAGGCGAAAAGGGGTTTTAGCCTATGCGGGTTTAGTAGGGGTTAGGGTTCCCATAATAAGGAATCCCTACCCCAAGAATCTTAAACCCCCCCCGTTGGCCTCCCATCAGCAATTTTGAGTTCGCCCAGACCTTCCAATGCCCCTTAACTAAGGCATATACAAGGGTCCTACTGTAGTTCAAATGCGTATTCCTGAATTAGGGGATTGTGAGAAAGTCTGGGTGTTTTCACTTTCTGATCTAACTTCCAAGGTGCATCTTCATAAACGGTATGGTTTACGTTTGAACTGTCTGCTTTCACTTCTGTTCTCGTAGACTCGCTTCTTCACCACCAGAAACCAGGCATACAATTGGGCATGGATCTGCGGCCGCTATGAGGTTTCTCATTTGCTGCTGGACCAAGAGTCCGAACAGGACTTGAGTGAGAGACTGAGCCGGCGCAGCAGCTTTTACTGCGTTGCGCCTTTTCAATTGTCACGTTAGGCATTGATGGCGGCTGCGCAAAGTCTCGTCTTCACCACTTCGGGTTTCAGGATTGCTTTTCGGACGTAGCTTGGTTCGTCTTCGGGAACTTACTTTGGTTCAACTTAGTTCATAGTGAGGAAAGCACGGTCTGCATTCTACTTTCTACTCCCCTTCTGGGAGCTTAAACTAAGCTCCTGCATCATCTTCATACACAGGGGTTCACTCGACAGGAATTTGTAGACAGCTTCTTTGGGGAGTCTGTGACGTCTTTCTGGCGTTAGTGTCGCCTGAAGTGAGTGAGCCCGAATCGAATTTACGTAACAGCGGGGCCTAAATAATTACGTACATTATTGTGGGGGTTCCTTGTTATAACTTTAGTATAATCGCCCCCCAAGCCCTATTCTAATTATTAAGGCCCTCTATCACAACGTCCTGGGATTTTGGTTTAAGGCTTGGGGCGTAGAGGTTTGGAAACTCTGAGCCCTAAAAGCCCTGAACCTCAAACCCTCCCGAATCCTAAACCCTACGCCCACATACGCTCGGCCCTAGACACTCCAGGCCCTAAATCCTGCTTTTGGGTGAGCCACATTGAGTCAGGTCAGGCTCCACTTAACTGCGACCTTAGCTCCAAGCTGCAGAAGGAGCATGTAGACCAAAGGGCTTAGGATTTCGGGTTTAGGGTTTCGGCAATTAGGGTCTCGGGCCTAAGTAGGTTAAGAATTTCGGGTTAGCTAGGGGTTACAGGGGTTAGGATTGAAAGAAGCGTTTCTAAAAGTGCTTACAGGCGCCCATAGTTGTGGCGATATACGCCCTATAGAAACCATAGCCCTAAACCCCAAATCCCTAAACCCTACACCCCTACGTCCCTAAATCCCTAAACCTCTAAACTCTACATCCGACTCGCTGATCTCAAGCCCCCTAATCCTTCACGCGTGCCCCTTGACTCAGCCTCTGGTTTGGGGTTTAGGGTTAGGGTTTACGGGTTCAGGGGTTCAGGGGTTTAGGGGTATAGGTTTGAGGGTTTAGGGAGTTTAGGGGGTTAATCTTAATATGCACCAGTATGTTTTCCTTGGGGTTCCTTCTTATAGCTTTCTAGTATGTTCATTACTACTCTTATTCCCTTTTTGTAGTCCTAGTTAGGTTCCTTATAGAGTTACCCAATACCAAAAAGGGAGCCCTTTTATTCCGAGGTTACTGGGCATCCTAGTATAGTATACCCCAAAATCCTAATCTAACGATTAAGGTCTCCATACTGGTGGTTTAGGGTGTAGGGAGATTAGACGTCGAAGCCTGCCAGCACCTCCCAAGTAGCCCTTAATACAGCCCTTATGGTTCTGAATTGTGGGCATTAAGGGGATTATAAAGGGTAGTTGGGGGGTGTCGGTAGACCCCTATGCAATAGATGAAGTCCTTTAAACTTCAACCCTTCTGAATTAAAACTTTCAACCCTTTGGAACCCTACAACGGAAAAACAACTACACACCTCAAGCCCATAAGCCCGAAAAGCCCTAAACCTTACATAAACCTATCAAACCGCAGGGAGAGGGAATCTGGCCAAGCGGAGTCGCGTGCCGAAGCAGAAGGTGCGACTCCATTTTTCTGTCTTCAAATTGGTAGTACCAGGGTTGAGGATTTAGGGTTTGGGTTGCCCTAAGCCCTCTAAAACCCCATAAACCATAAAACAAAACAAGCCACATCCTATAAACCCATATTGCCCTAGGCATCTAAGGACTCATATATTAAGGCTTTTGGGCCCAAAGACCATACTATATAAGGCTTTTGGGCTTTTTTGATGCCCAGGGTTGGTGGTACATATGGAGCCTTGAAGCCTAAATCCTAAACGCCAAGCCCCTAGCCCTACGGCAACCGACACTCCCTCAGACTCCTCACTTCACTCCCTGGCTTACCTTTGTTTAGTAGGGAATGGAGGAATGGGGTACAAGTATAACTACTATTACTACCATGCTTCCATTCCCTACTAACCAAAGGTAAGCTGGTGCAAGTCTGAGGGTTTGCGACTTGGGATTGAAAGTCAAGGCTTCATTTCAGGGTTCAGGGTTTTAGGGTTTGGGACAGCGACCTAAATCCCAAAGCCCCAAGCCCTCAAACACTCCCTACGCCCAAAACCAAGAAACGAAAGAAAGGCTGCATCCTGGAACTCTAAACCCCCTGAACCCCAATTTCCCTAAGCCAACACCCTGCATCCTAAAGCCCCAAAACCCCAAAAAACCCAAAAACCCTCAACCCCTAAACCCTTAGACCCTAAACCCCTAAACCGTGAGGGCTTGGGGCTTTAGGATGTAGGTCGCTGTCCCAAGCAGCCAGACCCTAAATCATCCTGATCCCCAAATCCTAAATCAAAGGCGAAAAGGAGGGACCCCTAGTGGGGACCCCTACCCTATAATGGGCTATATAATGGGTATATAATAGCTATATTAAGGGTATATACCTGGGGGTCCTTATTAGGGGTCCCTCCTTTTCCCTTTTGACTAAAGCAAGCAGAGGCATGATCAAATCTCACGGTGCGGTCTGGAAGATGGTGTGGGCACTTTGTCTGCGTTACTTGAGGGATTGGAAGACTTCGTCAGTCGCTCAGAAGTAGCGTTAGGGGTTTAGGTTTTTTTTAGGGCGTTGTCTAGGATTTGTGCTTTCGGGTTTGGGGATAGTTGTTTTGTACAAGGGATATCCTCGCATGGGGTACTTACGAGTGCTGATTATAACATTCATCGTAAGCCCCATCATCCTAAACCCTAACCCCTAAAACCTAAATCCAACACCCTAAACCTTAATCCTTAAACTCTAAACCCCTCAACCCCTCAACCCCTAAATCCTAACCACGAAGCCTGAAACGGAAGGCCACCCAGATCGTCAAAGGGTCCGTCAGGGGTTCCCTTAAAAGTCTACGTAATGTAGGGGCCTTTACAACTAGAATAGGGTTCCTTTAAAGGGGGTCTATTAGTCGAATGCATGATCTCCACAACAAGCCAACCCATGTTCAAGATATGTGCGTGGTTGTCAAAATTAGGGTCCCTTTTTGAGTCCTTATTATAATACGGCACCTAACATTTAGGGTACCCAAAAAGGGGCCCTAATTTTGACATTATCCGTAACCCGCCTGTGGTGGCGCTTTCCTTCGATTGGGGTGTGCTGCGACCTCTAGAAGTCCGCAGCCTAGACCGAAACACCACTGAAACAGCGGAATATTCGGGGTAGACAACAACTCCATAAATTCTACTTTACTAAGGACTTAGATAAGAAATCATCATCACATTTAACTCCATAAATTGTACCTAACTAAGGACTTAGATAAGGACATCATATCAAGGAACTCTAAAACGGTAGGTTTTTTGTAGTCCAGGGAGGCCTTGGGATATAGATTTCGGCCGTTGCTTCTGAAAGCCCATCCCAGAGCCCTCAACCCTCGACCCCATGAGCCTTGAACATCTAAACCCTTTACGCTTAAGGTTTTTATCGGGTTGAGGGCTTTAGGGGTACCTTAAGGATTTTTCGGGGTCTGGGGTTTTGGGGATTCCATGATAAAGGGGTATCTTGGACCGCCAGTACCCAGAGACTCCAATACCCCTTGATTACTGTAAGGAATATACCTTAAATTATAGTAGGATCCTTAATATGATTTAAGGAATATTCCTTAATTAAGGGGTATTTTGGACCGCCAGTACCCCCGACACCGAGGCGAGTGTGCTGATGTTTTTGCTCGTCTCCTTTGCGCAGGCAGGCTGGTCGACCCTGTGGCTGAAGTTTAGAGTAGAAGCCAGAAAGTTGGAATATGATTATCCTAAGCCCTTTATGGTAAATTATAGGGTATCCGGTATCCTACCCTGAAACCATATTCCAATTTTCTGGAGTTCCCTTTAGAGTCTTCCTTTCAGGGTTCCTTCAAGCGGTTTACGGTTTAGGGTGTTCCTTTCAGGGTTCCTTTAGGATTACTATAGGACCTCCTGCTACTATAATGATATAATACGCCTATCTATCAGGCTTACTATAGGGGTTTAGAGTTTCGGCCTTAGGATTTCGGGTGTAGGTTTTGGGTTTTCGGTTTTAGGGTTTTGGGCTTTGGACTTGGGATTTATGTTTTAAGTTTAGCGTCTAAGTTGTTTTGATTTTAGTTTTTTAGTTTCGGGTTCAGGGTTTGGGGTTCTCTCAACCCTTGTGCTACGGATCCTACTGTTTACGGTTCTGCTGTATTTGGGCTGAAGCTCCCCTGTCACAGAAAGTCGAATTTCGTAGCTGACTAGGTAACCTTTAACCTTTTGGGGCTTATGTACACAATCCTACCCTAATTGAAGAAGTTAACCTTCTTGGGCTAGGGTAGTTAGCCCGTAAGAGAAGCCAGCAAGTTGGAACATAGGTTGGGTACGGCCCCCACTCAGTCATAGTTGACTAATATTCATAATACAGTTAGTAGGACCTTAATAGTAGCCCTATTATAGACTCTTATTGTATGAGGGCCGTACCTAAAACATAGGTACTTGGAGGGTCAGGGGACTTAGTAACTAGTTATTTTAGAGACTTATAAATACCATAACCCCAATTAGGATCCCTTTTAGGGTACTTATAAGTCTGCTTTTAAAATACTTACTAAGTCCCCCGACCCTCCAAGTATCCCCCCGCTCTTTGAACGCCTGGAACGCGATGGAAAGGAGCCTTGGACCTCGTGCCAAGTCCGCTCCCTCTGCAAGCACCTGATAACTTACGGTTGATGATATAAATCCCTAGGGTTCCCTTTAAAGGCATCTAGGGGTACCTTTAAGGGCTTCCTTTAAGGGATCTATAGGGGTTTAGGGTTTAGGGTTTTCGGGATATAAATCCTGCATGACCTTAAGGACCCTAAACTATGGGAATTATGGTATATTTCCTAGTATGGGTAATGCAGGATGTATATCATCAACCGTAGTAGCAGAGTAGGTAACATTTAGCCTCTGGGGGGTACAAAAAAACCCTATATAATCCCAAGGTTTAACCTTTAGTTCCCCGCTGACACTGAACAAGTTTCAATT